TAGGTTGTCTTTGTCTCTGCTGGACACGGAAAGGGAATATTAATGCAGGTTGTTCCTGTGTGTATGGGTGTTCCTGAAGTACCTAATTAGGCACAGAGCTGCTGCTGTGCTGTTAACTCAGCATTTATTTGCCAACCACTGGCCTACACCGAGCTACAGTGATGCCTGATGTTAGCTGAAGTGATTCTGAATTCAGGGTTGGGTCTTTGCCAGTGTCATACCTGTCCTCGAATTAAAAACCAGGTAGAAATTCGCTTGTATGATACAGATTCATGATGGTGCATTTTCAGGTTAGTGGGGAAAGTGGGATGAGTTGTGGCTGCCCCATCCCTGGCAGTGTTCAAGGGCAGGTTGGACACAGGGGCTTGGAGCAGCCTGCTCTAGTGGAAGGGGTCCCTGCCCATGGCAGGGGTTGGAACTGGTCTTAAGGTCCTTTCCAACACAAACCATTCCATGATTCGATGGGTGACGTGGGCTGGCAGGAACCTCATGAAGGTCAACAAAGGCGAATGCCAAGTCCAGCCCTGGAACACTCCAACCTTGAGCAACAGGTCAGGCTGGGGCAGCCAGTTGGGAATTTCAATGCCATCTTGTACATGAATATTCCAGAAGTGAACAGTTCACCATCGGGTGCCTCCTCTACTGCTCATGGATTAGAATCTCTTTCCCTTGCTTAGAATAAATCCATCTCATCACTGTAAAAGCCATTTCAGATCTGTTTGGCTGTTCAGGGAGGTGGGGAATTGATATTTAACACTGCATTTTAAGTTGCTGCATGCAGGTTTTGGTTTCAAATGTAGGTTGGGATATTTTGGAGGGGGCTAAACTGTATCCGTGCAGTTATTCCCTGATAGATAAATGGGGTTTAGGTTGTTCAGTCATGATTTTTGTCTCAGAATGGGACAAAAAAGGTGAACAATCCCAGTCTGTGATCCTAACTTGATATCTGACGTTGGGGTTTGAGTGTTCTGGGATTACTCCCAGAAATGAGAGCTCTGTTTTAATGTTTTTAATGAAAGGTTGAGAGTGAGCGTCTGATTCCATCATAAGAAAACCAGTTTAGTATTAGCTTGGATATCCTCGCACAGTGTGTGCGCTCCCAGTGTACATCAGAAGCAGGAGTTGCAGCGTCATCATTTTCCACTGGCAGATGTTCCAGCTGTCAGGAATTGACCTGCTTTATGGGAAGCTGGAAATTTGGGATATTTCCTAATTCACTGATTCACCTCCTTGAGTGCTGGGGGATTGAGTCACTTTAAAATCAGTCGCAATCTGCTCTGCAACTCTGAAGTGGATTTACTTCAGGAATTCTTCATGGGGTGAACTCATTTTTAGACTCAATTTTGAAATTGCCTTAATAGCTCATAACATAAAACCAATGGAAAATCACCTAATTCCTGCTCCTTTTCCCCCGTTCCTGTTCTCATGGCATTGGGGCTTTACAGATCTGCTGCGCTTCATGTGGCTTTCACTTCTGTTAACTTGGGGATGTGCACAGTTGGTAAAGTGAAGAGTAAATTATACTGACTGAATGATGCTGAGAAAATGATTCTGTTACAGATACAGGAGTGTGTATTAAAAGCGTTTAAACAATGGGTTTAGTTATCATCACCATGCAGTGTGTGTAAGTGAAATTCCCCCCTCTCCTTTCATCATCTGTCAGATAGCACTGAAAGCATTGGTTCTGTTGCTGTGTGTTCTGCTGATGTGGGAAATCCACTCTCTGTAGAGCTGAGTGTGGTGTTTGCTCATTTCCCTGCTCCTTGCTTTGTTAGTGTGGCAGTTGGGGACTGCCTTAGGTCAAGGTCAGTTAAAACAGGTGCTTTTCTGTAGTGTAACAGTTCCAGATGGTTTGGATTTTATATTGTTTTGTACATTTTCTGCTGCTTTGCACAGTTGTATAATACTCTTTTAATTACAGTTTCTAAGGAATTAGTCTGAATGTCCATAGCCAAAAAAACCCCATAGAACCATGGACTGGTTTGTGTTGGAAGGGAACTTAAAGATCATCCAGTTCCAACCCCTGCCACAGGCAGGGACACCTTCCACTGGAGCAGCTTGCTTCAAGCCCCTCTGTCCCGCCTGCCCTTGAACACTGCCAGGGATGGGGCAGCCACAGCTTCTCTGGGCACCCTGGGCCAGCGCCTCAGCACCCTCACAGGGAAGAGCTTCTGCCTAAGAGCTCAGCTCAGTCTCCCCTCGGGCACGTTAAAGCCATTCCCCTTGGCCTGGCCCTACAGCCCCTCTCCAGCTTTCCTGCAGCCCCTTCAGGCACTGGAGCTGCTCTCAGGTCTCCCCTTCAGGAGCCTTCTCTTCTCCAGGCTGAACCAGCCCAGCTCTCTCAACTCCTGACATTTCAAAGGAAGACAGCCGTCCTCTGCAGAGCTTCTCTGGCTGCTTGGCCTTCAGAACGAACATTCCTTTGTAATCCCTCCAGGATTAGACTCATTCTAGTCACACGGAGCTGTGAGCCATGGAAGGAGCTGCAGGCAGCAGTGTGAAGAGATGCTGTGGGTGGCTGGAGTTAAATCACCTATGTTGAAACCATTGGAATAATTCTCCTGAGTGTGACTTTTCCTTCAGGCTCGTAGCAGACTGCCCAGACACCAGGGTCTTTTAAAGATAGGTGCTTGGTCACTCTCTGGATTGGTAATAAAGCAGAGTTCCTTTTACATTGCAGCTTTTTGTCCTGATGGTGAGAATAAGTTTATTTTTATTGGGTTTCTTGGTTTTGGAGAACTTAAGTCAGGATTTTCCTGCAGTTTGAGGATTGTGCGCAGTATTAGACTTAGATGGAAAATGCTTACAACTTATAGACACCAAATATTGTTGAATATTTTCTTGACAGGCTGAGAACATTGGGGCTGTTGAGCCTGGAGAAGAGAAGCTGTGTGGAGACCTCAGAGCAGCTTCCAGTGTGTGAAGGGGGCTACAAGGATGCTGGAGAGGGACTCTTCATCAGGGACTGTAGTGATAGGACAAGGGGTGATGGGTTCAGACTGAAACAGGGAAAGTTTAGGTTGGAGATAAGGCAGAAGCTCTTCCCTGTGAGGGTGCTGAGGCGCTGGCACAGGGTGCCCAGAGAAGCTGTGGCTGCCCCATCCCTGGCAGTGTTCAAGGCCAGGTTGGACACAGGGGCTTGGAGCAAGCTGCTCTAGTGGAAGGGGTCCCTGCCCGTGGCAGGGGTTGGAGCTGGAGGAGCTTTAAGGTCCTTTCAACCCAAACCAGTCTGGGATTCTATGACTGTACTTATTCTTTCTCACCCTCTTTTTAAGCAGTCAAAGTCTTTAAATGCTTAAAAATGATTTTTAAGGGGTCAAAGGGAATTCACAGTTTGCAAGATAAAGATGATGTTTAGGATCTGCTTTCCAGAAACTAATCTAGGATTCTTATTTGGCTGTCCAGTTCTGTTCTCTGCACTAACTAATGCTTAATTTGTGAAGGGCTGCAATAGCAGATATTAATACTTCCCAATTTAAAGGATCCCAAAATACCATTCCTGCTTCCCTGCAGAGCCACTAATTCATTTCTTACAAGCTTTTCAGTAGCAGTTAGAGAACGTTTTATTAGCTCGTGGAACCAAATGTTTCCTTATATGAATAAACATGAAATTCCATCTGGAACAACAATAAGGTTAAGAATATCCCAGCTTTGCCCATAAAATCAGGATACCCATGAAAGTGTTCAGGTTTCCCAGGTTAAGGAGCGATGATGTATTTCTTAGTCAGACTTTTGTTTTTGGTTCCCTTGCTCCAAAGAATTTTCTCCTGGGAAATGTGGCTACTTGAGCCTCATATTTCATCATGTTTTGTAATATATTTATAGCTGTCATAAAAGGATTCCTGTCTAAACTGTCCCGAGGTTAAATCCAGCTTTGTGTTTGGCTAATGGAGGGAAATGCAGTCACAAAGCAGCGGAGAACACCGGCTTCAAGGGATGCGGCGCCTCATCCTGCTGCTCCTTCAGGATTTACCATTATATTAATTCACCAAAACACAGATCAAACACCAATTCAAGTATTGTATAAGTCAAATGATGTGCTGCCTTGCCAGTTTTCATTCCAAATCCCCATTTAGAGCACAGAACCAACTCGAAACGTTTCTAATTGAGGGAGGTGCTACTGTACAAGACGTGTTCTTCATGCTGGAGCTTGCAGTCCTGCCAGGTCCAAGATCTTGGTTGGGTTTGCAAGCAGATTTGCTTCGCAGGGTGTTTTGTAGTAGTACAGTAAGGCCAGTTGGATGCTTTTGTTTCTCTTCTCCAGTGTAAACCATTCAATGTAGCAGGTTTTTAGGGGATATCTCAGGCTTCCAGCTTGTGATATTTGTTGTTTTGCTGTTAATTTAAGTGGAATTTGTTTTGCATGAGGAGGGGGGGAGCCCTCATGGTGAAATACAGAGCTCCATATCCCGGTTCTGTGAAAACCAAGTATCCTGAATGTTCTGTGATTATATCATAGAATCACAAATGGTTTGTTTTTGAAGGGACTTTAAAGCTCGTCCATTCCCCCTTTGCCTGTCCCTACAGGCCCTTGTCCAAAGCCCCTCTCTAAGTTTCCTGCAGCCCCTTTAGGCACTGGAGCTGCTCTCAGGTCTCCCCTTCAGGAGCCTTCTCTTCTCCAGGCTCACCCAGCCCAGCTCTCTCAGCCTGGCTCCAGAGCAGAGCTGCTCCAGCCCTCGCAGCAGCTCCATGGCCTCCTCTGGCCTCGCTCCAACAGCTCCACATCCCTCTTGTGCTGCTGCCCCAGAGCTGGATCAGGGCTGCAGGGGGGGTCTCCCCTTCACAGAGCAGAGGGGCAGGATCCCCTCCCTGAGCTGCTGCTCACGCTCTGGGGGTGCAGCCCAGCACACGGGGGGGTTCTGGGCTCAAGCGCACACTGAAGCCGGGTCATGGGGAGCTTCTCCTCACCCAGCACCCCAAGTCCAAATCTTTTTAATTAAATAATTGAATTTTTAGTATTTTGATTTATGTATTAATGGATTTCTTTTCTTCTTTTTCAGAGCATTCAGTCAGAAAAGAGCAGCAATCGAGAAGGAATATGCACAGGTAGGTTCTAGAGTAATTTTATTATCTATGGCGTTCTCTTGATGTAATTCATTAGGTCTGTAGGGTTTTTCATTTACCCTTTCTGTAAGTCACTATGAAAGTACCTCTTGAAGCTCCAGTTTGGACAGTTTGGCCTATGCAGGACTTAGACCTGTTCCGTGTTTTCATGGATGTTTTGACTCGAGGAAGTTCCTGTGTACAGAAACCATTTTTCATATTATTCTTTTCAAAGCGTTACAAAGTCAGGGCCCTCTTTGAGGTTTTCTCAGAAGTTAGTGTGAAACCTGAGCAAAAAAAGTAAAATCAGGTCAACTGGAGGGAGAGGAAATGGGTTGTGGCATCCTCGGGCCAATGTAAATTTACATTCCCATTCTTCAGGAGGAGCAGCTTCCCATTCATCTGCAATAAAAGCAGCCAGATTTGGCCTCTTGCTGGTGATAGGGAGTGGAATGAATTCTGATTTGTTTGGGAGAAAGGAGGGAGGATTGATTTTTTTTTTTTTTTTTTTTTTTTTTCCTCCCTGCTTCCAAAATTAGAAAGCATCTCATAAGGGTACAGCTGCCTCCTTCATTTACAGGGGAGGCTCTTGGAGCTTAAGTCCAAGTCCAACAGCTTAAAAAGGCATTAATTTATTTTAAAACAGATTAGAAGTTGAATCAAATAGAAGCAAAGGAGCTTGTGGAACTCAATATACAATAAATACAACTGGGGATGTGCCTGATGTTACAGTTGTTGGTGTTGGGGCAGGGACAGAGTGATGTGAAAAGGGAAGCTGTTGCTTGGGTGTCCCTACCTGTAGTTTGTGACTTGTTGGGTTAAGCCTCCTGTTAGTGCTGCATCACCCCCAGGTCTGCCCAGAGCAAACATCGCTGCTGGCCTGGCTTTGCTACTCTGCTCTCGTGAGACCCCACTTGCAGCGCTGTGTGCAGTTCTGGTGTCCTCAACATAAAAAGGACATGGAACTGTTGGAACAAATCCAGAGGAGGCCACGAGGATGGGCAGGGGCTGGAGCAGCTCCTGTATGGAGCCAGGCTGAGGAAGTTGGGGCTGTTGAGCCTGGAGAAGAGAAGCTGCGTGGAGACCTCAGAGCAGCTTCCAGTGTGTGAAGGGGGCTACAAGGATGCTGGGGAGGGACTCTTCATTAGGGACTGCAGTGATAGGACAAGGGGTGATGGGTTCAAACTGAAACAGGGGAAGTTCAGGTTGGATATAAGGAGGAAATCCTTTCCTGTTAGGGTGCTGAGGCACTGGAATGGGTTGCCCAGGGAAGCTGTGAATGCTCCATCCCTGGCAGTGTTCAAGGCCAGGTTGGACAGAGCCTTGGGTGCCATGGTCTAGTGTGAGGTGTCCCTGCCCATGGCAGGGGGTTTGGAACTGGATGATCTTAAGGTCCTTTCCAACCCTAACTATTCTATGATTCTATGATGAAAGAGGATTGTGTTGTCTGTGCTGAATGTTTTTTCTAGCCCTACATCTCCTGTAGGGAGTCTGAGCCCTCAAACTCAGCTGAAACCACTTTGTAAATCACATGAAATTTGCACTGAATTCAATCCAGATGTTGACAGTAGTGCTCTGAGGATCTGCAGTTATTGCTGCTCCTCTTCCTCCGCTGTACACGGACTGGCATCAGCATCTATCGATTCCATTGGCAGTTGCACTTGATTTGATTCAGAGCAACAATTTTTCATTGACAGAATCAATAGATGCCTCCTGAACCTTTGATTAAAAGTATGTGTTCTTTAGTGAGTTTTGTAAGGATTTTTTGTAATGACATTGAATTTAAGTTCATTCTTGATACACTTATCCATTCTGCACCAGGAATGTGTTTTATATGCAGCAGTCGCTGCTTTTAGGGAATAGTCTGGATAAGCTGGAAAAATAATTACGTTCTCAGATTCAGAAGGCTCAGTCTTAACAACTGAGGCTTTCAATACCTTGCATTTAAACACCCCCCCCCCCTCAGCTTTCCAGCAATCCAGCTGCATCATTTGACATCCCTTCAATGCCTGCTTCTATGAATGAGGGCTTTGGGCTCGCTTCCTTGGTTTTGCTGATAAGTGCCCAGTTCAGGAACAACGTTGGATGTTTCTTCTTGGGCCTGTGAAAAGGATTTCTGTGTTGGAGATGGTAATAAAATTCCACATCGAGCCTTGGTTTCGGGGGGGAGAGGAATTGTGCTGCAAAAGAAATGTGAAGTCGGATTCATCAATGGGGGAATCTTCCTTTTGAACCTGGTCTAAAGGAAACTGGAGGTTTCTGAAGCAGGATTTCGACATCTTTTCACAGGCTCTGTCCAAAAGCCTCTTGTCACTCTCAGAGGACTCAGAATATTCTTACTTAGGACTTTTTGGCAAGTGAAAGAGATAAATAGTGGTGGACAGTGAAAACCAATTGCCCAGAACTGAATGCTTTGTTGGTTAAAAGAAGTTGTGTTCTGCTGCCCAGTGCTTGGTGCCAAGTTTCACTGCACAAAGTGCTTTTGTTTGGAGTAATACCTATACAGATGCTCATGAAACACATGGGGCAGTGTTGATAATTTCCTCAGGTATCTTGAATGCATGTGATGTATCAGAACCTGTATGTAAGTTATGCCATGGCTCCTTTTACCAAGGCAGTTGGTTTTACTCGGTCTCTTCACCATATTGTACCTGTTGAAGTGATTTCAAGCTGGTTCCAGTGCTTATTACCTGCCTCTGGTGGCTTCTTCCCTGGCTTTTTTGGCTGTGCCATGGTATAAATGGGAGAAGCATTTGATGCATCAGCCCTCCCGTTGTGAAGGCCTTTCTGGCTCTGTTGTGGATATGCATGGAGAGGTTTCAGTGGTATTTTCAGTACTGCATCATTAAATAGACATTTGAGGCTCACCTTAATATTCAGAAATTGAGAGCTTGAACAGGCTTTCATTTCCCATTAGCAGGATTCCTAGTTAATAGCATTTAAATTGCAGTTTTATAGAGTATTATTAGCTGTTCTCATGATTAATAAGCTGGCTGAAATCAGGAGGCAGGAATACTCTTTTGTTAGCTGAAAGAGCAACTTAGTGAATGCCTGATAAAACACTGTTTTCCTGAGCTTGTGAAGGAGGTAAAATGGTGTTGTTACTTCGTTTCAGGTTGTAATTGCACCTCTGCTGTACTTTGTATTATTCTTTAACAGTTTTAACACAACAGGAGCCTTTCGCAGTCTGTGTCCCATGCTGGGAACACACAGGGGAGATGAAGATGAGCTCTTAGGCAGAAGCTCTTCCCTGGGAGGGTGCTGAGGCGCTGGCCCAGGGTGCCCAGAGAAGCTGTGGCTGCCCCATCCCTGGCAGTGTTCAAGGCCAGGTTGGACACAGGGGCTTGGAGCAAGCTGCTCTAGTGGAAGGGGTCCCTGCCTGTGGCAGGGGTTGGAGCTGGAGGAGCTTAAGGTTCTGTTAACCCAAACCAGTCTGGGATTCTATGATTCCATGTCCTGTTTTGTCATGCTTTGGTTTTGGTCCATCTTTGGCTCTCACTGTGTTGGAGTAAAACGTGACTCCAGGCAATCAGCATGGTCCACCTCTATGAGTGTACAAGTCATCTCAAAGAGGTTGAGCTGTGAAACATGCTCCCCGTTTCAGTGCATGCTAATCAATTGCTAACTGTAATACATCAGCTGAGGGCACTGAGGAAACCAAGTGGGAAAGTTCATTCTATGAGCTATATTACAGCTTTGAATTTAGGCTGAGGAGCAAGAAGGAGCTTCTGTTGAGCTGAAAGAAAGGAAAAAGCCACTGACTTACGATTTCTCTTCCTGCCTGCCTTTCGGGTGGTCAGATGAATGTTGAAGAGATGTGTGAGCTCAGGAAAAGCAGCTATCTGATCTGTGATCTGAGCGTGGACAGGTCACTGGTGTTGGTTCCTGTTGCAATGAAACTTGAGACATTTAAACCACTTTAAAGTATAGAGAAATAGAAGGTGGTACAGTTTGTACCCACACATTCCTGTCGGCAGCTGTGAGTGAAGTGCAGCCTATCACAGGATCCCAGACTGGTTTGGGACATTAAAGCTCATCCAGCTCCAACCCCTGCCACAGGCAGGGACCCCTTCCACTGGAGCAGCTTGCTCCAAGCCCCTGTGTCCAACCTGGCCTTGAACACTGCCAGGGATGGGGCAGCCACAGCTTCTCTGGGCACCCTGTGCCAGCGCCTCAGCACCCTCACAGGGAAGAGCTTCTGCCTAAGAGCTCAGCTCAGTCTCCCCTCGGGCAGGTTAAAGCCATTCCCCTTGTCCTGCCCTACAGGCCCTTGTCCCAAGCCCCTCTCCAGGTTTCTTGAGGATGTTGTCCTCCACTTGCTTACTGGATTGGTTCTACCACTGAAGTAATAAACCCTCCTCAAGTGTTTTCCAGAGCACTTGGTGACATTTTGGTGTAATTCCACATTTGTTTGCTGCCAAGGTGAAAGATATTTGTTGTTATGCTGTTAATTTAAGTAGAATTTGTTTTTCATGAGGAGGGGGGGAGCCCTCATGGTGAAATACAGAGCTCCATATCCCGGTTCTGTGAAAACCAAGTATCCTGAGCGTTCTGTGATTATATCATAGAATCACAAATGGTTTGTTTTTGAAGGAACATTAAAGCTCATCCATTCCCCCTTTGCCTGTCCCTACAGGCCCTTGTCCCAAGCCCCTCTCCAGCTTTCCTGCAGCCCCTTTAGGCACTGGAGCTGCTCTCAGGTCTCCCCTTCACACAGCAGAGGGGCAGGATCCCCTCCCTGAGCTGCTGCTCACGCTCTGGGGGTGCAGCCCAGCACACAGGGGGGTTCTGGGCTCAAGCACACACTGAAGCCGGGTCATGGGGAGCTTCTCCTCACCCAGCACCCCAAGTCCTGCTCCTCAGGCTGCTCCATCCAGGCTCCCCCAGCCTGTGTCTGTGCTTATTAGCTCATTCCCTGTCGTCTGGACAGAAAGCTGGCGTTCTTTTCAGCCTGGAGGATACAGAAGGTTACTGTGGCCTCAGGGAGAGCAGGAAGAGATTGT